AGATATTCAAAAGCTGCCTGGACATGGCCCTCAGCAACTGGATCTATGTGGCTCTGCTTGAGCATGGGACTCTAGACAAGCTAATCTCCAGAGATCTCTTCCAACCTCAACCATTCTGCAGTTCTGTGATTCTGTCCTTGCAGTAAAGGCCTCCATGCCATTTTTAGTCATCAGTCTTTTGGTAACCATTTCAAAATGTGACTTGGAGTATGTATGGGGAGACAACAGTTAAAGCACTAAGCTCAGACTAACTGCCCTAAGACATATACCAGCCACCTCTCACACCACAGGATGCTCATAACACAGGCTGAAGAGACAGAAAAACACACATGCTTATTCTTGTTGTCCAGCAATAGGACAGGGTCACAAGATAAGAGACTGAAGTGTCTATAACTACAGATGCAATCAAACAGACAACAGTTGGACAATGTGAGAAAAGACAAACACAGGTACTTTTAACAAGAAAAATTTATCCCGTCTGAGTTTTGTCTAAAACTTTTAAACTCATACCTTGCATCCTTCACCCTTTCAGTCCTAAAGGAATGAGTACTTTGTAACATGCAATGAGCCCAGAAACTTAGCACATGACAGCCCAGATCTGCTGTTTCTAACAGCAATGTGGATCCCTTCAATTTGGGAAGACAGCCCAGCACAGAAACGTTTGTCTTGCATGCTCTCCTGTGAAACAGGTGAGGGAACAGATAAAAGAGTGATGCAGAGACATTCTTGCTCATTGGGGGCCAAGTGGTCACAATTCATAGAGATTAGATACACAGGCTGCTTGGAAAGAGGTGGAAACAAGACAAAGGTCCACCATGTTGCCCAGTTCCCTTACAGTCATTTGTACTGCAATATTAGCCTTTTTTAAGAATAAGGCCACATGGAATGTGTTCAGCTACTGTACCAGTAAACAGCCCAATAAGCACATTTCAGTTCAGAACAGGCAAGTCAATCTCCCTGTTTGAATCCAGTAGCTAAGGTATGTTTTTTCAATGGGATTGATATGCTTTCTGCAAAGGTATACACTCTTCCAGAAGACTACCACTCCCTCCTTAAATCTCCACGTGTCTTCCAACTGCTTCATACTTCTTCCTGGTAGTGTTTCTCTGCTTGGATCTCTGTGTCCAGAAGTCTGATAATCTGGATGGTTTCCAAAGCTGAGTGTTCCAAGCTGTGCATACACTGCAGATGCCAGGCATACTTGTAACTGAACAGCCTAACACATCCTTTCAAAAAGCCCTAAAGTACCTGAGCCTGGGGAGTTTCAGTGAATATCTTCCTTTTCAGAAGACTGTAACAGTCCCTTAATCATGAGACTGACATGTGAAAAAATGCGTTTCTAGCTGCGTTATGACATTGTTGAGATACATGAAAAAAATTAGTTTGCTGCCTTTGTGCGTAGCCTTGCTCAAGCTTTTCATGCAACCAGATATCATAATGGGTCTGTGCCTATAAACCGATCTAATGGAGATGAAAGCTTAGAGTCAAAAATTTCTTTAACACCTGTGGAAATGGATCTTGCAACTTGCAGTGTCTTCTGCATTCAGTATGTGGAACTGCTGCAAAGTTCTGCCTCTACTCTACAGAGAGAGGGCAAAATAATGTTCATTATGAAATAATTATCATTTAAAGAACAAGAATACTACAATCCCACTTTTTAAATCTTAAGAACTCCCTGCAATGAAGTATGATACAGTTTGTCTTTGAATAGTGTCCCAGGTTCTTCAGCTGCAAAAATCAGGCAGAGAACATTTTGGTTCAAATAAGTAACAGGTGAGAACATAAATGAAATATCCTTTTACACAGGCACTGTCTCCTCAATTATTGCTGCTTTCATGGATCTACACACTCCACCATGCCAGACTGAGGACAGTCACTCGGGAAGATTTCAGCTCATTGTTTTCAATCTCCAGTTCATTAAGTGGTTTGCCTATTGAGCTGATCTTAAACCAAGTCTCTCATTTATTCTTGCACAAATACCGTTGCTGCTAGGTTGCTGCAGAATACAGCCACATATTGTTTCAACTTGCCTACACTCATTTGCTTGCAACAGAGGAATTAAGAAGTTAACATCTCCCAAGCCAGCACTAAAGACGGAAACCAGTAATTTCTTATCTGCTAACTGGAGGAACTGAGCTGCTTCAGTCATGAATTCCAACACAGCCTGCTCCCCCTCGTCTGAAGGTAAGCATCACTGTTAAAGCCCCCAAACTCGACTGATTGTATAACCTAAATAAAAAAAATCTACCCAACAATTTGAATTCAGAAACTTCTGGAAATGACGACTCACCTCTGGGCATCTGCTGCAGAGGTTAGTCACTTCACTGTTAAAAGGTGCATGGCAATTTATGTTTGTCTGCTTCAACTTGAGTTCATATTACTACCTCTACACATCAAAACTTCTTGAACACCAGATAAATTACATCTGTGCCATTACTTTTACAGCCTATGTCAGGAATCTTGCAGAGTACAGTCACATCTGCCACTGCTTTAAATCTCCATCTCCTTTATTCCCTGAATCAGCTAGACTATAATTTTTTTTCCTCCCTGGGAATTTCAACTAACTAAACTGTCACTATTCATACTCTGCCATTTGCCCTTTATAAGTAAACACACCAAACAAGCACCTTCCTGAATCTTCTTCACATTCCAGTAACTCTTTCAAGACACACAACTCAGTTCTTCAGCCAACTCTTTACTGATGAAACAACAGAAATTATAAAATTGCTTACTGAATTTTTTGAAAACAATACTTCTCACTTCTCCATTAACACATAAAGGAAAACAGCACCCTATCCTTGTAAATGAAAACAAAAAAACCACCCAACAGATGCTGGAATGGAACTCAAGCAGACAGTATTGGATCATTAAACACTAACATACTTCTACAAAGTCAGACCTATATGGCATCTAGATCGTTTTCTCATTCCCAAGTTGTTTAGTTGTGTTTTTTTACAGATTTTTTCCCTTAAATGTTTTTATCACTTCTGTGAATTCTTCTGAATATCGGACCTTAATAAACCCCTAGTCTCGGGGGGGTTTATTGCTTCTTTATTGTCCCCTGTACTATATCCTTCTTACACAAATTTATTTTCACTTGCTTTATTTGCTACCAAACTACAGACACTCCATTAACTAAATTCCTCATATCTCTTCCTCAGTGAATCACAGGTGTAGAAGACAAGCAGTTCTCTGCCTGTCTGCTATGACCCTTGCTTACCAAGTTCACCTGTCAGGCTTTATACTTCAGGGCTGTGAAATAAAAGAGATTTCACATCCACTGCTGGGAGGAAATAATACAATTAAACACAAGCATGTGTTGCTTTTCACATCCAAATTCTGTTGTGGGCAGGCACACCTAACTTTTTGAGGCAAAAGGACTATTTTACTTCTCAGACATGATAAGACTTCCTACTTGTCACATACAGTTCTCTGCCTCAACAAGAGAAAAAAAAATGTGACTACGACTGAAGCTTTTTGCCTGCAAACTTTAAAACCTGCAACAAGGGCTTGGGAGCAGCATACAGATTTATGACCACACGAGGTAGCAGGTTACCCAGCTACAAATAAATGGTTTCTGCTTTGAAATTTGCTTCAGTAGGTTCTAAAATTGAGAGATGATTAAAAAAAAAAAATTGAAGTAAAAGGAAGAAATAAACATTTTGCCCCAAGCAGTTGTTTTCGCCAAAAGTGTTTCTTTAAGAGCAGATACCTGGTATCAACCCAGGATATTTAAAGAAGACTGAATATATCATAACATATCATGTAACACAGTGATATGCTAACTTTTAATCAATCACTTCCATAAAAGAAGTTGCTTCCAGTCTGGAACTACACCTAAAAAAACCCAGTGTAATAAAGTCTAGGCTTTTAATCTTGTATCATCACTGTCACAAGCTGATTTCTTTGGAATGCCACCTGGACAGATACAAAGTTTATCAAGTTGTCATGAAAGTCTGGCAGTGCAATCACGTTACATATTTAAACATGTACACATAGATCAGTTAGACTGATAGCATTCAGCACATACTTGCAGTTCTTGTGATGTGACTATTATACTGAAGTTGAAAATGCCAACAAACGAAATTGAGAAATATTTATTTCCAATATAGAAGAAAAACTAAACTATACTCACAACACCAACAGAGGTGGTGGGGGGATGTGCTGTGCTTACAAAATATTTGATGCTACTTCCCTCTGGTAACCTGAGTTCCTGAGTCCAGCACTTTACAATGCTGCATCTAAAGAATTTGTTAAAATTTGTAGAGAACGACCACTAAAAAACAAGACATTCGCATCTGAGTAAGTAGCTACAGAGTTTGCTTCAGCTACCTGCCAGTTGGAAACACAGTTATGGAAGCTGTGATGGTCTTGTGACACAGGACTTTGAACTGCCTCACCTTTGGCACTGAACTAGGAGGCAAGAAAGTTATTACTAAATAAATTACAAACTGGCTCCTTAAAAACAGACAGCATGACTTGGGATGGCACCGATTACCTTTTTTTTTTTTTTTAAATTTTTATTTTTTATATATGACTGTTCCATATCACAAGCAATGGGCCTGAGGCCACAACTTTGGATCACGAGCACGAGGCTTTTCAAGGGACTCTAGTGCTCCCAAAGCACCTCCCCAAAGATTCACATGCTATTCTGCAGGAGCACACCAACCCAAGAGCCTCGGTACCAGTCACGAGGTTGGCAGTGCATCGCGTCGCAGAGCAGGACTAGGCACACCTGTGAACCTGCCCTATAGAAGGGAGGCGAGTTTGAAAGCCAGGAGGACAGGGCACCATCACTTCACGTGTCAGTCTTGCACATGCCCTGCCTGCCCCGAGATACTAAAAAGTGCCAGGCCACCTGGTGAAGGATGACTGAGAACAGCGGCGGCTCCAGATGCAAACAGGAGCTAATCCCCTCGCCAAAAGTCCTTCCAGGGGCTTACGTAGCCCTAGCCCTACTCCCTAGTCTACAGGCGCGGGAACGGGAGCTCAACGCTTACCTTATCTTTCACGGCAGAGGGAGCAGCAGTCGCCGGCTGCTTGGAGCCCTTGTGGAGCTTCTTGCCCGCGCCGTCGCTGCCGCCACCGCCGCTCTCCACCTTGATGAGCCGGTGCTTGGGGGAGATGTACTTCACGTCGGGCGGTGTCGCCGGGCGGCGCTCGCTGTGGCTGCGGAAGAGATGCGGGGAGCCGGTGGTGGGAGGCGTGGCGCAGCACGACGAGGAGGAGGAGGAGGAGGAAGCCTTGAGGGCCGCCTCGCCCAGGTCCTCGGGCGCCGAGTAGTCCGGACGGCACATGGCGCGCAGCTTGCGCAGGGACGAGCCGGGCCCGCTGTAGGGGTCCTCGAAGTCGCGGTCCTTCTGGGCGCGGTAGGCGCGGAGCAGGTCGCTGGTGTCGTCGCGCAGGCGGCGGCGCGAAAAGCCAGGCGAGGTGTGGTGGTGGAGGTGGAGGTGCGGCGGCCCCTCGGGGCGGGGCGCGCCGCCGGCACCGTTGCGCTTCTCCCGGTAGTCGGGCCGCGGGGGCTGCGGAGGGCTCTTGGTCTTGCTATTGCCCAGGCTGAAGTACTTGTTCAGCCATTTGGCCATCGTCTCCCCCGGCCGCGGCCTCAGCGCCGCTGCGCGCTGCCCCC